TTTTTTTTTTTTGTTTATGAAATATAGACCACCCGAGTAGGCAAGCATGTTAACGAGCTTCGTCGTAACACTTCAAACGAGTCTCTAGCCAAGAGGGCCAAGGAACTAGTAAAGAAATGGCGCAGCATGGTGATACCGGGCTCGAATGGCCAAATAAAATCAAATTTATCGTCTCCAGGAGAACTTAGCGCTTCAGAAGACTTACAAAATAAGAAACGAGTGGCCAAAGAAGCCATCGAAAACGCCATCATCAAACGGCCAAAGGTAAATGGTCAAGTGAGCGAGTTGGATTTCTCAGACAATTCCAATTCGAGCTTCAAAGATGTGATAAACTCTAGTAACTCGTCTACGTCAACTACTAATAAGATATTTTCAAAACGTGACGCGATCAACGCGAATTCAGATTCGAATTCGAGTCTTCCGGACGCGAAACAAGACCCTCTCCTTGAACAGCAGCAGCCAAAGAAACGAGGCCGTAAAAAAGGTTCCAAAAACCACAAGAACCTCCTCGACGAAGCTGAAACGTCTTTTTCGAATAAACTCAATGTTTCTAGAGGTAACGCAAAAGTAAAAACCACGAAGGAACTTTTAGCGGACCTACAGATCAAGAGTGGAAATGCTGTTCTTCCTGCCTGTAAACCAATCGAGGATCTCAACGAACGTGCAGCCAAGCTCACTGAAAGGGTATCGATCATTGATCAGAAACTTAACGCAACCTCGAACCGTTACAAAAATTCGCAAAAGAAACTCAGCTACGGACAAAAGAACAGTTCTTCTGAACGCGTGATAGAGTCTGGATCATTTAGCAATGTAAAAAGCACATCATCAGAAAAGCCGCTTCCCCATTCTCCTAACTCCTCCGCATCTGACGATGAAATAATTGTCGTAGATGACGAGGAAAAAAACTCAAAATCGGAATATGCAGAAGTTCCTGTAGTAGAAGATGTGCCTAAGTCTTTATCTGAGGAAGAGGCTTTGGCACAGCTGCCACCTATCGACAAATCAGTCTTGGAGGAGTTTGAGGAACATCTATGTTATTGCCAGCTGGTGGAAAATAAAACGGACTTTTCTGTGGAGGAAGATGATGCCGACGTGAACCTACAGCACACGTATGAATTCGTGGAGAATTCAAATTGTCCAGCAAGAACGTACCTAGAAGAAAAATATCACTTAGGAGAAGCATGTTTAGAGGACAAGGTGACGCTCTTACATACGACGAACATGCCGAATGTGAATGGCAATTATAGCATAGGCGGTTCAAAAACAGAATCAGAAATGCTCGAAAATGAACTTTATGTGAACGTAGTGCCTAGTGTAAATAAGGAGAGTATACCAAAAGTGTTTAATTCCGAAGACTTTAGGGAACCCGCGAGCGAAAACTATAAAAAATACAGTATTTCGAAAGAAGATGAGAAGAGTGATACATGTGAAGTAGAAACATTAGAAAAGAGCGGTGATGACGAGAGACCGAATTGTTGTGAAACGTTTAAAGAATGGCACGAAGTAGTCGAAACTCGCTCGTATAATGGCGAAATTTTAAAAATTTTGCCTTATGTAATCATAGATTAAAACTAAAAAATGGCTAGTCTCGTACGATGTGTAGGTTGTTCCATGTTAATATTGTGCTTGGATACTGAGCCATTCCATAAAGAATTTTTAACACGAAAGAAGTACGAAATTTTGACCAATTACAGAACTCTCTAGACTCGTATTTTTTTTATTATATTGTTGATAAGAGTTCTAAGTTTTGCGAGGTAGTTTTTGAAAATTCTTGGATGGGCCGGGCTCCAAACAATTTAATCTTCGTTATCTTAACATGGAACAATCCACCAAAGCACCCTGTATGTCCTTCTCTGTCGATTATCATTCAATGTGCCCATTTCAGATGCCTTAGTACGTTGTGCAATAATTTCGTTTCAAATAGAACGTCAAAATTTTTATCTGGGAATTGAGAAAAAAGAATCCGTTTATTTTTTCAAAAGTTATGAAAACAAAAACATTAAAACCATACAAATGATATATTAGGACTATTGTATTATTAAAATTAATTTATATGTACCAATTGTCGGTTTATTTTCATTTTTTTTACGTATTCGTTAAAATAAATCCAATTAAATTTTGTATTGTAACTATTAATTTATTTGTTCTATTTTAGTACGCAACACTCAAAGGCATAATCCTTTTATAAAGATGTAAGCAACGTTTCTACTATTTATTAATTGGTGTCGATATCTACCAAAATTAATTGTGATTTATTTGTATATAATCGTCTATACTTTACCATCTCCCACTGTACCTTAAAGCTATACATATAATATAAAGTGCATTATAAGAACTTTTACAAAGAATAAAAAAGTTTTGGTCCTCTAGCAGTTAAAGAATGGAAAAAAAAACAAGACTACTTAAAGATATAATATTACTCTATAGTGAAGTCACTAGAGTTAGTAGCTTAATTTCTCTTATTTTTTTCTTTTGTTTATAGTACAGGGTGTTATTTATGTATATCGTTTGATAAAATGATATGTCGGTCCTTTTAATGTGTACATATTTTATTGAATTTATTTTGCATAGTTACTATTTTCTGAAAGAAACATATTATTATGCCTTGTTGAATTTGTTAATTTATTATTTGATCTAATTGTTAAATTTGTCATTGAATTTGGGAACGTATCTTAAATTGCATACAAATGCAGCATTGATGTTGCATCATTAAGAAAAAATAAATAAAAACATTACGGATTGCCTTAAAACCGTTTTGGGGTTTCTTTAGACTGACCATTTAAATAAAACTTTCACTTCACATTTGAACATTACTTTGAAATACGAATTTAATTTGTTTTGTAATGTTTATGATGATATTATTGCCTTCTTATAAGAAAATAAAATATTTTCCATAAGTACTTCTGTGTTTTTTATAGTTTCATACCAAAAAATAAAATAAAAAGTAATGTAATCAGACTTACAGTGAATCTAATAAGTTTCCAGGTAGGGCCATTGAAGTTTTAAAAATATTCTTTCAAAATAGTAAGAAAGTCGAAGTTTAAAAGTGGAATGTTAAAATTGAATTAGTATCACATGAATGACCTTTGCTTACATTTTTAAAAACTTTTTGCTAATCATTTTATATTGATGACAAAAATGCTATCCCTATTGTTGCTAATTAAATATATAACAGGCAAAAACAAATGTTTTGTTCATACTTTTGGATAAAGAAGAGCAATTTTCTGGAACAATTTATCGTCAAAGACTTGTAAAAACGACTATTTATTTTAAAACTCGAAGCTATTAATTGCCTATCAGACAAAAATCATTTATTTTTATTAACTAACATGAGGTAGAAATTTTTTTTGAAACTTCTATGTAAATATATGGAGTATTTCAAAAGTCATTTAAAATATAAGTCTTTATTAGTGGATTATAAAATAGAAGATTGGCATAAAGATCTTGACACTTATAAAATAGGTTTATTACAAATCTATAAATATGTACATAATTAATTAAATAATAATTATCCCCAATGCTGTTTATTATATACAAAAACATAATTAGACCTCCTGTAAGAGTGGAAATTCCCCTTCATCTTCTGTTACCAATGCCTCAATGTTATAAAATGCAGCATGTAACATTATAAGCGAAAAAGAAGCTCCTAAGACCCAGAACATTGCAGCACCTGCCCCCACTAAATAGAAAATTGGCAAAAATACCAAAACTAGTAGTCCATATTGGTGGCCTAATGTTAATTCTTTGCCACAAATTACCAATTTTTTTTCTGTATGTCTCTGGGATAGTTTATAACCAGTATAAAGATTTACAATGACAGCAACAAGTAGAAACGGTGACGTTATTCTGCAAATTAAAGGAAACATTCAAAATATTCATCAATATAACAAAAATAGAGGTCACATACAAGCAATATACAATCAGTCCCAGGAAAACAAAAACGTAATTGCTCTGAAAATATTCGATATTTCGCAGAATTCTCTTACTTAGTCTGGGGACTGAAGGGAAACTCTTAAAATTGGAAGTACTTAAAAATATTGACCACGGTCTTACATTCTGTTTCTGTCTACTTATCCATTCTTTAGGGTCAGGTATTTGTCTTGGCAAAAATCTGAAAAATTTAAGGTGAATATTATACTGGTAAAAATGTCTATGTAATAAACGACTAAGACAGACCCTAAGAACTGATTTTTTCTCAGCACTTCCGCAGGTATGGTAGCATCCATTTCACCAGAAACATCCACCTGAACATCTGCCATTTTAGTAATGATATGTATTTATTTATTCAAACAATATTTTCAGTAATTCCGCACACGGAAGTAATAATTTTAAATCATTATAACTCTCTGTTATAACTGACGTGTCTGACAAGTACGAAAACGAGGTTATGTTTATTATATTTACATACACATATGTTTTTTCAAGAGGTTTGTTGTTAATTAATTTCGAAGATATACTATGCACGCAAAATTAATAATTATCTAAACTAAGCACTTAGTTATTTTTCATATTTACAATGATAATGGGAAAAAATAGTAGTAAATAAGAAATTGTTTTGTTTATTTTTTTTTTTATAAAAACGTAGCCTCTGGCAACATTGCTTCGTCAAACTGTAGAGTGGTAGAGTGCAATCAAGTAACCAACCAGCGATTGAAAATATATTGTTCAGGCAAGGCTGCAAGAATCTACCAATCAAAGTAACCACAGTGAGTTTGAATTTATTTGAAACTTCTAATTCAGTGTTTTCATTGGTCGAGGACACTGCAAAATGCATTATTCGCGTCATTCGCCATTAACCGTTGAGTGGAAAGTGAAACCAAAACAGCGATAGTGAAAGAAAAATTTGTTTTATTGTGTGAAACAGTTTGTTTGTGATTGAAAATAAATAGAATATTTAATAAGTGTGGATTAAATATATAGTTATAAATGTGATGGCTCGTTTTCGAAATTTATGTTCTGAATTTGATGAGGCCGACAATGAAGAACACGATTTGGACTCCTCTTCTGGCTGTGAATTATCTTTTGAAATGTCTCGCGAAAACATTGCCCCCGTTAGCCCTATTCATCTTGGACCAAGACGTTTACAGTTTACAAATGAAGATGAAAATTCAGCAGCACACTTGTCATTTAGTCCTCCTTATAAAAGAGTCCGAGCTCTTAGACTGTTTGATAACCCATTAACGCCGAAAACCATTTTGGAGAAGTCTTCAGTATGTGGAACACCAGCACCTCGTAACCGTTTATTTTCTCATTGTGAAAGGCCTCGAGGAGTTGCAAGTGCTTATCCTAATAAATTAGAAAAACCAGCTGCAAATGTTAATCCTTTTACACCAGATGGTAAGTGTAAGTAATTATGTTTCTTCTAATAAACTGCTAAATGAATGCCATGTATGTTATTTAAAAAAAATTCTAAATCGTATTGATAGGTTTGATGATGACAAAGAAACGTTCAAGATCTATTCGTTCTCTTATAAGTTCACCTGAGGGGGTCCACCTTACAGTACCAAAATTAGAATTAAATGATTCAGATGCAAGTGACATTGAAATTGAGCAACCCACTAAGCGTGTTGCATTGCAGGTACAACCTATTCTTTAAATATTTAGCAACAAAGTATATTTTAAACTGTGTTTTTGTTTTAGGAAAACAATATTTCTAGATATTACAAAGAATTCATAGAATTAGAACTTATAGGCAGTGGACAATTTGGTTCAGTTTATAAATGCATTAATCGTTTGGACGGCTGTGTTTATGCTATTAAGAAGTCAACTTGTCCTGTTGCTGGGAGTGCCTTAGAAAAAAATGCTTTAAATGAAGTGTATGCTCATGCAGTGTTAGGTAAATTTAATGGATTAGATTTTTTGATTTTCTTAATCTAAACGTTACTTGTTGTAGGAAAACATCAACACGTAGTTCGTTACTATTCAGCTTGGGCTGAAGATAATCACATGATAATTCAAAATGAATATTGCAACGGAGGTTCTTTGGCTGACAAAATTTCACAAGAAGCTCTTAGTATATTAGAGTTGAGACGTCTTTTACTCCATGTAGCTGAAGGTCTTCGTTACATACATTCTGAAGGCTTAGTGCACCTAGACATCAAACCTGGAAATATTTTTATATCGAAAGAAAAGAAAATACAATATACAAATTATGATTCAGCAGATGATGGCTTCGAAGATTTAGAAGAAAATTCACATGGAGAAGAGGAACAATTAACTTATAAGATTGGTGATCTAGGACATGTTACCAGCCTAAGCAATCCACAGGTAAAAATTTAAATACTAATTTTAATAAGAATAAAAAAAAATTACACGGTANTTTCTGAGTTATAAAATTTTGAATATCTAAGGAACGAGATTTTAATCATGTTTAGCACATTAAAAAATCATTTGTTTTTTTATAAATATTTTTTTATTTACTCTCAAAGTAAATTTAACCAATTCGTTTATTATTTTATAGGTTGAAGAGGGTGATTGCCGTTACCTCCCTAAAGAAATCCTCAATGAAGACTATACTCAGTTAACTAAGGCCGACATTTTTGCCTTGGGTTTGACCGTGATCGAAGCAGCTGGTTCAGGTCCTTTGCCAAAAAATGGCGAGAAATGGCACAAAATCCGGAACGGCGAAATACCTCCCCTGCCTCAACTGCTAAATCGTGATCTGCTCGAGTTAGTACGCTCAATGATCGATCCTGATCCCTCAGTTAGACCTTCGGCACTCCAAATCCTTCAGCACCGTTCCTTGTGTCCCGTAGGTAACAAGTCACGTGCTCAACTCCATCGAGAACTTAACGCCGAAAAATTAAAGAACGAAATTCTGTCGAAACAACTTGTCGAGGCAGCGAAATGTATAAAATCTATAGCACCTGCAGAGAATAAGGTGGTGAAGTGCTCAACGAGATTGTCTTCCAGGTTGATCGGAAAGAAGGTTAACAGGAGCATAAGCACGACCACGTTTTGAAAGACGCAATGAAGACAGACGAATGTGAAAAGTACGAGACGGAAGCTGTACTTGTTGCGAAGAAAACTGCCCATAGAACTGGTGAATCTTTTTTTTTTTAGTAAATTAATATTCTTTTACATTTAAATCATTTTTCATTTTTAGACAATATCTAGTTTTCATTTTATTATATCGCTATTTTAAAATAGATATTTCGGGTCATTTTATCTCATATTTTTACTAAAGAACGGTATAGTTTTCTTTGCAACAAGAAAAGGTCGGCGGGTGTTAGTTGTATGCGTAGCTGTGTTATAAAAAGGCTGTTAATGATTTTCTTTTTTCTCGAAAAATGTTACTGACAAAGATTTCACTTAGTCATTTTTTGGTTTTCCTCTAAATATTTTCATAGCGGTTAACAAAAAATCGGACGTTGCTTTTTAGCACTCATAAACATTATTTTTTCCATATTATTTTAAATAATTTGATATCATATAAAAAATAAAATGAATACAAGAAAATGGTAAATTAATTTTTAGCTAGTAGTTTAACAAAATAATTATTCATGAAGTAGTTTTGCTATTGATGTTTGAATTGTGGGCTTTAAAGCAATGTTCATTTTTATTAATAAAAAACAAGTTAATATAGTAGTGTTTATGGTTCTGTAGGTATTAAAAACGAGAAAGTGTAAAGTGTTTCATGAGCCACACATACGACAACCAACTTAATATGTTTTTTTTTCTCTCATATTTAGATCCACTGTAATGTTCCTAAATCATATTATTTTATGTCACACATTTTAAATGAATTAGTTATTTGTTTAATGTCATGGTGCGTTTTTTTTTACACATACTTATAATATAAAATAATTATTACTAAACCGTTTTTTTTATTATCTTTTATTATTAATATTATTATTGTACCTTTATTAAACGAATGGATGTGGTAATGTAGCAATACCGAATGTAATTTATGTATGCCTCAATATTAGACCTGCACTTATATCGCTGTATTTAATTACCAAACGGATTTCATTGTTATTTTTTGTGATAACATTTGTTACGATTTAGCGTTATAGTAGACTAACATTTCTCGTTTTTCATTTTTTTTTTGTTACATTAAAAAAAAATGTTAAATGCGGGGACAGTGACGTAAGAAAAAGGAGGCAAGCATTTGGTGAATACATTCCAGTTATTAGTGCCTCTGTTATCTAGATAGTTCTTTCTGCTTGTATCATAGTAAATATTTTGATTATTAAGCTTTTAACATTGTAATACTGAATTTTTGAATGTTATGAACTTTATTTATAATAAAAACGACTAAAAATATTCTTTCCGTTGTATTTTTGTAAAGCGATTTTTAAAGAGTTTAGATCTCGGTATCAGTTTTTAAAGTTCAAATATTTTCGCGCTGTTATAGCAACAGTCATTTTAAATGTGATTGGTTTACATTTACCATAGAAGTTTATAACATTGACTATAGATTAGAGATATATGATGCTTGGTACCATAGAGAAATTGCCGAAAGCTTAGCACTCTCATTACAAGAGTACGCTAGCGGTACTGTCAGGGAACAGAATGAAAATTGGGTTGCAGAAGCAAAGTGGCATTTTGTTTAATTACTATAATATTTCGTATCTATGAACATTGACGTTAACTTAACCTAAAAATATACGATCGTTGTGATTTGTTATGGAGCCAAATAGTGTATATTATTTTTTTACTATTATTAATAAGAGTGAACTATTAAGTAATCTGTGAAATTAATCATACACTGACAGTAAAATCATGATAATCCGTAACTCATCTGATATAACTTTTATGTAAGTGCTGAACTTTCAGTCTTTTATTAACAAATAGATGTACTGGTAGCTGATATATAAACAGTTCTGCGGAAAGTCATAATATTTACAATGTACGTGAAACAATTTATCAGACTCATTAGTTTTAAACTTTTTACCTAGTAAATGCAATAGTACCTATTTAGCGTTGAGCATACAGCTGCTTTAATTGTGATAAGGATTTATTGTGCTTTTTATCTGCAGTATTTCAGAGATAACATTGAATCAAGGATAGTTTTGCTACATTTGCTTTAACGTTCCATTTAAGTAACTATTTTACTAAAATACAAAGCAATATGGCTCACGAAAAAGTTATACTTGTAACAGGTGGTACAGGGCTTGTTGGAAATGCCATAAAAACTGTTATTGAAAGTGAAAACCCCAAAGATGAAAAATGGATATTTATAAGCAGTAAAGATGCCGACTTGTGGTAATTATTTTCAATTTTTATTAAAACTATGTCTACCTAAAATAATCCGGTACTACTGATATATTAATTTTAGTAATTTAGAAGATACAAAAAGATTGTTTGCTAAGCACCAGCCCACTCATGTTATCCATTTGGCTGCAATGGTTGGAGGATTATTCCATAACATGTCCCATAATTTAGACTTTTTGGTAATTTTGAAAATTCCATTTTACTTGAGGTAATTTACTCATTTTAGAGACGAAATTTACATATGAACGATAATGTATTGCAAGTAAGTTATGAAACAGGAGTAAAAAAAGTCGTTTCTTGTTTATCAACATGTATTTTTCCTGACAAAACAACATATCCAATAGACGAAACAATGGTAAGTAAAAAGGCTTCACAATAATTAATGCAACATTCTATGTGTGAGTTTTTAAGATTCATAATGGCCCCCCACATCCTTCAAACTTTGGTTATAGTTATGCAAAGAGATTAATAGACGTTTACAATCATGCATACCATGAGCAACATGGTTGCACTTTTACGGCTGTGGTTCCATGTAATGTATTTGGTCCTCATGATAACTTTAATCTTGAATCTAGCCACGTTATCCCTGGTCTTATTCGGAAACTGTATGACATAATTCAACAAGGAGGTGATACTTTTGTTGTAATGGGAACAGGGAAACCCCTGCGCCAATTTATTTATTCACTTGATTTGGCTAAATTGTTTGTTTGGGTTTTAAGGGAATATAAAGAGGTGGATTCTATTATTCTTTCTGGTAAGTTAAAGTAAATTAGGGTTTTCAAATAGTTAACTTAACTATTTTTCTTGAACATAAACGAATTAATTAAAAATAGAAAATAAATACAGTAAACACTCGATAGTGTGATCTGAAAACTGTTCACATAAGAATGTTATATTTAATACGTAAATACATGAAAACAGTACTGAAATATTTTTTACTGAAGAAAGAAATCAGAAGATGTGTAACACCATCCATTATTTCATCCTTAAAATACAAGGGATTTCACATAAACAGTTAGGCAGTCTTGTTAGTTTTAGGTTTTTGTTCTTAGTATAAAAATTATAAGAATGTATGCAGAAAGCAGATGAGGCAACAATGAATTATGTAGGTACCCATTTGAAGTGATTACATGAATAAAACAACGTATCTCTAGCGAATACGACTGGGGATGTACCAAATATTTCGGGGATTTACAGAATTGGCGCAACAACTACGGTGAAATATCAATTTTTTAGGCCAAAGGACATACGTCTCTATGTGAAGGTTTAATGTAGTTGTTACATGGTAGCCTTTTATATTTAATACGCTGTTTACGTTATACGGGGTTTCCGTTATGCAATGGTCACACTATCGAATGTCTAATGTAAATACATACAAGGGGTATAATAGGAAACTAGCTTTTAATTGTTTGTTTTTTAACAGTTGATGAAGCTGCTGAAGTTTCGATAAAAGATTTGACTGAGGAATTAGTAAAAGCATTTGATTTTAAAGGGAAAGTCGTTTTTGATACTACAAAAGCCGATGGACAGTTTAAAAAGACTGCCAGTAACGCGAAATTGAGAAAATATTTACCAGATTTTCAATTTACACCTTTTCAACAGGCATTAAAGGAAACTGTTGACTGGTATAAAAAATATCACGATATTGCGAGAAATTAATTATTTTCAGTAAAAATAATTTTGATAATTACGTTTGTTCTTACTTATCTGAATTTAATAAATTTGAGATTTGTTGAATAAAATCTTTTATTCAATAATATTCCCTCCTATTACAATTTGTTGCATACTTTTTCTGTTTCTTAAAATACAGCGTTTTTAGTCATTTTAATTTTATTGTGTTATGCTGTTTTTAAGTAGTGTTTTTGAATTTCCCGCCAGCGCCGTAAGATTGAAATCGTGAAATAGTGATATTATTTATAGAAAAGAACAAATTCAACTATAACTCGATGTGCTTTTATTTTTTAGCAATAAAGTAACTTATTTAAACGCATACATAATTTACTTTCTTCGTTTTATGGTATTTCTTGCACATGTGTGTATGTGTATGTACGTGCATGTGAGTACTGCAATCATTGTTGCAACGCCATTTTGTGTTGTGCTTGTTAAAGTTTTGGACGTACTTTGCGTTGCTCTACAATTTCACAACATTTTGTAATACAATATGCTGGTACTGTTAAAAATAATGTCTGTTATTGTTTATTTGTTATGTGAACTTAATAGTGGCCATGTAGTGATAACATTTGTTANTGCATTATAAGTAAAAACTACTTTTGGTGTTTTATGTGAATAAAATTTGTACACATGTAAATTTATTAACTTAAATAAAATGGTAACGGTAATTTTCAAAACGTTTTATAACAGAATTAGGTGTATACATACATATATGGTAAATATTTACCAGGGCTTCTAGCTCCTTCGGCGGTATAATTGTTGCACCCGGTTTGAAAAGAACCACAATTAGGTCGAAAGTCAACATTACCGTAATCGTTTGAACATCCATTTTCGCCATCATTAGTATGTATTGCGTCCACAAAATTTGCATCGTCAGGACTTAATCTGAGGTCATCATTCAACAACTTTGGGTAACAAAATAAAGGTCCTGCTGCATCTAGACCAGTGATGCGCCTAACTTTTGTACCTTAAAAGTTATGCCATTGTTTTTTGTGACTTCTCATTTTATTTTAATGTTCACATTTAAAAGAGTGTCTCGAAAATGTTACAGAACAAGGTTTTATTCGATATTAATTTTTTTGAAGAGGTATTAGAAAGAATAGGAGAAGAGAGGATTCTATGGATGTCAATAAGAAATAGGCGAGATAGGTTGATAGGACACTTTTTCTCAGGCATGAAGGTCTAGTCAGAGACACATTAGAGGCAGAAACAGGAGTTAGGAGGGGTAGGGTCTACCTCTAGGTAGAGGTAGACCTAGATTAGAGTAAGCAAATAGTTAAGGGTGTGGGTTGTTCTAGTTTTAGGGAAATGCAAAGTTTAGCTCAGGATAGGAAAAAGTGGAGATATGTGTCCACCAGTCTTAGGACTGACGACCTTATGATGATGATCTAGAATTTTCTAGTGTTACTGCCAAAAAGCTCCAAAAATATACTTTATTTGCTGAAGCTACTGAAACATTAACTATGAAAGGGACAAGGCTTTTAAAAGTTTACCATTAAATTTAATGTTGCACCCACTGTCATTATTTATTTTACGTTATTTATTATAAGAGGAGGGGAAAGAGAATTATAATTAGTATGTTCGACCACTATATGGGCGGCTCAGGATAGATTTTGGACATAATTTCTTTTTTATGTTAAGTAAAATCAATTGGTAGGTATTTTTCTGTGCCCAAGATGTGCAATGTGGGTTTTATGTGAAATTGTACTATAATAATTACCTTGAGCAAAATATATTGATTGCCCCACGTATCCCGCTACTTGTCCACCAAGGGAATGGGCTATTATATGAACTTTATTCAAATCGAATCCTACGTTGACTATGTAGTTTGCTATAGCCCTACCAACATGGGATACATAACAAATTGATCTGAAATAAGTGGAGTTTCCGTATGCTGACCAATCGACCAGAATCACATTGTATTTGTGATCGGTCTCATAATAAGCTTTGGCCATGTTCATTAACCATGGCTTTGTACCATACTCGGTCCAACCATGAATAATAAATTTCGTTTCTTGTGTTAAGTCCACATTGATGTTGGTGTCATTTCCGTAGTAAAGCGTTGGACTAGTTGAATTTTTGTAATTGAAAACGTGGTACTCTATTCGAGATGGATCGACAGAGCTCACAAAGGTACACGTGGACCAAATAAGATCTTGTATTGCACCCAGGCCAAGATCAGCGCCAATTACCGAAACTCCCAAAACGAAAACGGTTAAAAAAGCACCTGTAATTAACGAGAATATTTTGCAATAAAAAACATCATATTACAAAATTAACAATACAACGTGTAATTATACAACACGCTACTTCTTCAAACACACAGACATACCGGGATAGGGGTTAAGGAATTGGTTTAATGGTAGTATTTGTACACT